CCTTCCAAGTATACTCTACTGTTGTAAAAGTTGCGGAGGTGGAATATGAACTAGGTATTCGTGAAGTGAAAACCCTCAGGTGTACCAATTTTGTCGGCGATATTCATGGACAAGTATACCATACCTATCGGCCATCTACTGGCTAATTAAATTTTCAAACTACGATCGGCCTTTTCATACTTTTTTGTACGCAGCTATTTTATAATAACAATTATTATAATAAGCAGATTTCTTAATTCTATGGTGTGTCTGTATATATCTATGTATTCATAATAAAGTATACTTGGCTCCTAAAAGTATACATATATTTAAATATGGATAATTCTAACTGAGACTCCTCAGAGTATACGTTTGCACGAGTATGCATACCTTTTCTCCTATTATATTCTTATATACGCCTATATATGAAATTCAATTTATATATGAAAGAATTCAATTTAAGAAAATTTGTAAATTCGATGTATATATCTGTATGTGTACATGTAGCTATATATTTTTGTTGTAAGGGCTCCAAACGTCTAGGGTCCTTACAAACTAATATGCAAATCAATAATTGGAATGTGTAACCTTTTCAGCTGTCGGTTTTTGTCGATTTCAATTCTGATGCCGACAACAATCTGTTTCTGTAACTCCTCTGAATATTTTTGTTCCGCTTCTACTTTTTTATTTGGTCTTTATGTGCCGTGTCGTTCTCAAAAGGTGTTCGATGTTTTTATTATTGTTAAAGCGTATAAGAATAATCTACTTGTCTCAACCGCATTATTGGAAATAATTTTTTTTAAAATTAATTAGGGCATTTCCTCTCTCGGTAGCTATTTTATGTGCTTAAAATGTAAGTATATTTCGAACGTCTATGGTCTGCAGTGTCTCAAATTCTCTTGAACTTCAACTTGTGTACTCAATGCTGCGGCACGCTTACTTAAGTTGTGCTTGAGTTGATGCAGCTCTAAAGATTGCTAAAGTTTTGAATTTCTTTGCTTAGCAACGCTAATTGTTAAATAAATTAACACCCAGTTTCAGCCATTTCTTTTTTGCCAGCAGCATAGCTAAGCTTTTTCCGTTAAGTGTTAATTAAAAATTAACATTTAGAACATTGCTGACTCAGCCGGAGAAAAGTATTTTAAATATTTTATCTCTAAGCTTCTACTGATGGGTGGTAATATATGTGGGTTTATTTGGGCCAGCGGAAGGTATGAGGTTTGAAATCACCTATTTATATTAAAAGTAAACAAAGAATATTCGCAACACCGTTAAGCGGTTGAAAAGTCCACTTACTATTTTATTAATGCCTTTACTTAAAATTGTATAAGTGTAAATTTAATAAATATTATTTTATTTTTATTTTTTACACATCACTCGGCTAATAATAACTTGAAAACGCTTACGGTTTTTAATATCAAAAACCACAAAGGAAAATAAAACCGTTGAAAATGATACCAAATTCGCAATTAACATTTATTATAAACAACACTGAACAGCAAATATGTGAACCAATAAAAAATATGTGGTTTCGCGTAAATATAATTAGTGAATTCATATGTATAAGTATCTTTAAGTCATCAAAATATAGTTATATATAATAAAGAAAGGGTGTTTTTTTTAGACATGTGATTTTCAAGAAGAAACAAAACGCTTATAATTGCTTATAACTCAATTTTGTGACCAAGAATTTAGTTTTATTATAAATATTATATATGTAAGTGTTTGTAAGGGCTCATATAAGTTCCAGCAGACAAGTTTTTGCAGCTATTGGTGCCGTTTGGCAGTAATAAGGCGCCTAATATTCTCTTCTAAGACGTCAAACGTCTCGTCCCACAAAATATATTCCAGCGTTATTGAATCGCGAAATTGGAGGCCACGCTACAGGCTCTCCATGCGGGATAAGGCGCTCATCAAAAGTTTCCTTCCATAAATTGATTGTTTCGATGCCTGTATGACATATGGCGCCTTCTTGTTGGAACTAAAGGCCGTCCACATCAAAATCCTCCGATTCAGGCACGAAAAAGTAGCTAATCATGTCTCTATTGCATTCCGCATTGCCTCTAACATCAAGGCCCTCTGCCCGTAGAGCATACGAAAAAGTGACTTTTTGTGGATGCTAATTGACGTAAAGTAACACCAAAAGCTCTATCAGCATCAGGCAGGACGTCTCCGAGTTGTTCATTGCTAAACGAGCATTCAGGCAGGGCTATTTCCTATCGTGTGATTTCTATATTTTTTGTTGGATAAATTAATCTGGTAGTGAACGAGGGAAAGACGAAATATCTACTGTCATCAAACAAACAGTCAGCGCATTCTCGGTTCGGCCCTTACCACTGTGACAGCCATAACTTTGAAGTCGTAGATAATTTCGTAAATTTTGGAATCAGCCGCAAACTCCAACAACAATATCAGCTGATTCATTCTTGTCAACAGGTGTTACTTTGGACTGAGTAGCTGAGTTCTCTCTCGACGAACAAAGACCAAACTCGCAAAGACCATGTCGCTCATCGTTATCGTCCTACTATATGGTGCTAAGGCAGGGACGACAACAACATTTGATGAGCCGGCTTTGGGACTAGGAGTTGGAGAAGGACCTGGTGATACTTGGTATTTCCAACTAGAGCGTAAAAAAGATCGTAAAGAAGAAGAAGGACGATGTCTCAATAGTTTGTGGATTATCATTACGCCAAATTAAACAAGATTCTTCAATCATGCATTTCTTCAACCAAAAGTGAGCTTCGCGCTGACCGAAATTTTCTAGTGAAATCCGGAGTGGGGGCCATGGCGTTTTGAATTGATGCTCGTTCGGCTCAAATTCTTACACGAGTTGGATTTTATAAGCCCGCAAACCAGGATCCTTCCATAAATAGTGTTATACATACAGTATTATACACTAGAGTAAACGTGGCACCGCGACTGTTCCATGGTTGCTCAAATTATCGACTCTGCTGGGTGGTTATGTTGACTGCATATTGGATACAGCTATGATGAATTCCGCTCTTCATTGCCAGATTTTATGAAATTGTAAGGGAAAATTTCCGTTTGGCTTAGAAGAATACGATCATAAAACCATTCAACCATCGAAGTGTGCTGAAAAATTCTTCTTGTCCTGACATTCTCTAAAAAAATGAGCTACTAGTGCGGTCTCAAGCTTAAATCAATGTAGATCTCTTTGATTGTTCCTGCTTATTCCAGATTATTGGATTTCATGTGATTCGATCTTCTTCGTCGAGAGGGTTTTATGTATGCTCTGCTGCTAATGGTTCTGGTCTATTTTGAAGTAGAAATATTATCCACTTAATATCTCATAGGATGTTTTCTTAGCTTCTGGTTCCATTATTTGAGGAATTTGACCCTGGAACACTTCAGCGTCTTTATTTCGAAAATTTAATTGCGGTTGACTCTGAGTATAGTGTCGTACGCGACTCAGTCCATGCTGGACATATGATGGGTAATAGTCTGGGTAGGCAGGAGTTCATGTTATTACCTAAGTAAGAGGACAGTCGTGGATTTCGTAGATTGTGAATTAAGTTGTTTCTTACTTTTCGACGACGAACTCACTGTTCAAGTAATGAAATGGGTAAGGCCGGAGAGATAATAGCAAAGATTATCAACATCCTGACCTAATACTGGATATTGGTCACCGGCTTGTAAGGTTAGGGCAGCTAGGCAGTATGAAAATTAAGCAGCAGTGAAGAGAGGACACCTCTCTGTTGAAACCCCTTGTTTATTTTTTTTTTAGAGTTTTGAGTTATAACCCCTAAGTTCTAACGAAGACTGTCGACCAAAGTCAAATTTTATTTCTTTAAAACCAGAGAAAATGAAGATACCTCAATGTCCGATAATAGCGCTGGGTGATTGACCGTGTCCAAAATTTTTGAGAGCCGTTCGGTGCTGGCTTAGAAAAACCATTTAAGGCGCATGCCACAAATTGGAGGGCGAGCTCGGCCGGAAATAGCTTCAGCGGGTACACTGCTGCGACATAATCCTATTTGCGAGGTGTGACAATTGAGCAATGATACTGATTCCATATCCCTATCAAAGCAGTCCCTTTGGACAGCTATATAACGATTCCAGCGCGTTCTCCATGCTTCGTAATATATCTGGAATGCTTCGACTGGGATGTCCGCGAGTACCCTCGTCAGTGCCACCTGGATGTCCTCAATCGACTCAAAATGTTGTAATACGGTGATCCTTTGGAGGCCAAATACTGGAACACGCTGAGGGCAGTGTGGCACGGCGCATTGTCGTCATAAAAGAACCAGTTACTACCGATTTCTGGCTGCAACCTGTTGACTCGTTTTCACAATCTTTCGAATACTTGGCGATAGTAGACTTGATTTACGATATGCCCTGGTGGAAAAAATTCCTTGAGTACGATTCCCCGGCTTTGATTTGATTTCGCTTTTTCATTTTCGTGACGAGCACCACGAACACACGTTTACTCAACACGACACAGCAGGCGAACTAAACAAGCTAGAGCGATGGCAAATATATCAAAGGAGAGGAGAAGGATGCCGGGAGAAGGGAAAATCAATTTCAAGGTCGCAGGGTTACCACAATCGCAACAATATAATCAGTCTCATTACTTTATTGTCACACGTCGTAGGTCTACGTGTAAGTTCCATTGAGTATTCTGCTGTGTTCTAAATCGCGTTACTCACAGTGCGCTTAATTTCAAGTTGGACCCTTTTAGGTGAAATCTTGGAGAGATGTTCGCTTTGGTAGAAAAATTTACGGCTGCGTAACAAGTTGGAGGACTGAGGGACTTTTCGAGTCCATAATTTTTTATAAGGATTCTGGAAAAAGTTTAAATTAATTGATAAAATTAAATTTTTGATATATCAGTTCAATATTTATTGAATTCACAGCTTAAGGATACAAAGGAATATATATCACTATTATGTACATAATTACATATGTAATATTACCTAGAGCCCTACAAATGGGCCTAATAATTTATACATCACTACATACAAATATATTATGTTTTATTAAATCGACATGGATTTTTTTTTCTCACAACTTATATGCTACAAATAAATTTACAATAATACCAGAATATCCGATAGATTAATACTTTCTGCAAGTTGCAAGCTTCCCATTTACAGTTTCGTATTAATTGTATCGTTTTTCGTCGATTTTTTATCGATTTCATTCCATTTTTGTATTTCGCCTGAACCGAATACCCAAAATATCACTGCGGGTATGATGTAGGCTGCAGCGCCTATCAGGAATACATTGTGCCATTGCTCGATGGTGTTCTGAAAACAATGTGTAGAGTAAAAAAATTATTCATTATAGAATATTTAAACTAATTTAATAATCATGTATACTCACGCTTTCCTTCGTAAAGGCAGCCACAATCATCGGTGAGAAAATACCCGGTGTCGTGCCGACACAGTTAATGATGCCGTAGAGTGTGCCCGCATAGTTGGGCGCCAGATCTTGTGAGTTTTGCAAATTAGTGGCTGTTGCTGCGCCATTGAAACCCAAGGAGATCGTCATGATGGCAACACAAACATAGGGATCTCTGCCGAAGTAAGCTAGTATGATGAGTAAGATGCCAGGCAGAATGTGTGCTGAAGAAATGATTTTTTATTTATTTTTTTATTTTAATTATTCGTTTTTATTATTTCTCTTTGAACTATTTCACACTTACATGATAGACAAAATGTTTTGCGCATTATCGTCACCGACAACCAACTCTTGCGGCGAATGAGATCTGCGACAGCGCCAAAACCGAAGGCGCAAACCAGTCGAGCCAAATGCGGTAAGCTGGAGAGAAAACCGGCTGAAGATAAATTGAAACCGAGCACCTGTGTGGGGAGACGCAAACAAGTTAGATTGTAACAAATAAAACTAAAATTCCTCGCGGTAACTCACTTCGCTAAGGAACTTGGGCGTTGCTGTGATTAAGAAGAACAGACCCCACATGCTGCCATAATGTAGTAGCATAAGCGACCAGAAGGGCAGTGAGAAAATGAGACTTTTGTATGGTGGCCAACGCTAAATACGAAAATAAATAATTTATTATTGTATGATAGTAAAGAAAAAAAGTGATGCTTCCATATTAGGCACGCACCTTCTTGGTTGTAATAGTGTCGCCCAGACTTTTTTCAATATATTCACGTTCCTGTACCGATATGGTTCTATGCTGTGCTGGACCATCAGCGACTACGTAAAACCAGACCAGTGTTACAATCAATACAAATATACCGACCAAATAGAAGGCCCAATCCCAGCCCATGCCTTCGATAAGTAAACCGCTGATAGGCCATGTTATCATAGTGCCGAAGGTGCCGCCCATTAAAGCGGCGACAAATTTACCCTTCTCATCTGGTGGTGCCCATTTCGAGACCAAATCTGTTATGCAAATGACGAAAATTAAAAATCTTAAAATAATACAAATTCCAAACGTTCATCTACTTACTGTGGCAACAGGGATAGATGACACCCTAAAATTAAAAAAAAAAGAAAATACATTTATGCAACCTGCTTCAAGTTCCACTCAACACCTGTAACTTACACCCAGAAATCCAATGAGGAAACGTATCGCGAACACCGCCCATTTGTCCCAAGCCGCAGCGAGTGGTGTGAGCGCCGTTAGTGCGGCAGTGAGTAAACAACTCCAGCCTGCTACCGGCTTACCACCGAAATTCTCTGCCAGCATACCCGCCGGCAGCGAGGTGATCATATAGCCATAAAAGTAAGCACCTAGCAGATTAGCCTGATCCGTTTGACTCCAGTTATAGCGTGGTCCATACTAAGAAGAGAATTTAGAATTAGTTTTTAATTTCCGCTCACTGAAAAAACACTTTCGACGCTTACATTTGGTAGCGGTTCGGTGGCATTCGGGTCCGTATGCTCTACCATAGCTATGATATTAATACTTAGATTGACACGCGTCATGTAGCTCATGAGGCAGGCCATGAATAGCATTACCGCTATGTTGAAGCGTTTCGGAATTTGTACTGGAAGAAGAGAAGTGAAGGAAGGAGATATAAAAAAACATGTGAAATTATTTAGTTCTCTTTAAATCTGGGAACTAGGAAGTTCTTAAGCTATTATACGGTGGTGTCTGGTATGGCCGCTACGAGTATAAGGCAAAGAGTTTAGGGTTAGTGTACGTTAGAGGTGTGATCAGGAAATATCCGTTGTTCTCAAATTTCGGGAGTCACGTATGCTCGATTTTCGTTTTTTTTTCTGTTATGTTGGTACACATGTCTGTTGGCAACATCAGCAATTTTGGATTGTCAGTTCGTTTTTGACAGATAAAAATGTTAGTTGTGCTTTGGTGTGCTCTGCGATTTTATACTTTTCCAAAAAATGACTCAAAGAAACTGTATTAGGTTTGTGTGTAAAAAATGGACATTTAAATGTTGACTGTGGTGATTGGCGAGTCTACTATGAGCCGGACACAAGTTCAATTGTGGTATAACCAGTTAAAGGAAGGCCGAGAAGATGTCTATGACAATGCTTGTCCTGGTGGTCCGTGCACGTCAACAAACGATGAAAAACATTGAAGCAGTGAAGAAAATGATTTTGTATAATCGTCGAATCACTGTCTGAGAGATTGCTGATGACGTTGGCATATCGAAGAAGAAATTATGCGCCGTTAGCGCGAAGCTATTCCACAGAAACGCACAGAATTGTGGAAAAAACAATCATGGATTTTGCACCAGCTGACATCTCGATGCTTATGCTTGATTTTTTGGTCAAAAACAAAAACCGTTATAATGCCTCAACCACTATATTCACTGGATTTCGCCGCTATAGCCTTTTCCTCTTCCCAAAACTGAAGACATCGAAGAAAGGAAATCGTTTTGCTACGATTGAGGAGATAAAAGAAAAATCGAAAAAGCAGCTATTGGCGATACCAAAAAACGCGTTTCAGCAGTGTTTCGAGGATTGGAAAAAACGCGAGCATAAGTGTATTATATCTGAGGGGATTATTGTGAAGGGAACAAGATAGTTATTGATGAGTAAATAAATACTTTTTGAAAAAATTGAAAATAACGGTAATTTTCTGATCACACCTAGTATTTGTATTTTGTTAAAGTATATAATGTCAAACATATTCTCTGGCAGCTTGAAGTGAATCGAGCGCATACATTTTGCCTTAATCGACAGTTAACAAAAGGAGCCCCAGAACGCTCGCATAAATTTTTATACGCACTAAGACTATGGCTTTTAACTGGTGACCACTTTAGTTCGAAAACCACTGGTGCATTGATATTAATTTAGGTAGATGAGCAAATAAAATTTCGTTTTTTTATAAACAGTTATCTATTCATTTTAGGCCTCTGACTACCCATAACAGCCTGGACTCAAATTAACTTAGAACCACAAGCCAAAGAGTCTTAAATATTAGATATAGTAAGAAGTTCGTTCGGTTTTAATCTAAGAGTTGGCGTTATTGTCCATAGTACTAGTTTTACGTGTCGTATCATGTCATACTATACGGCGCTGAAAACGTGTTTAAAAGTTTGTCTTTGACAGTTTCTCGATTGATGGACTTAGTACGTTGTGAGCGCTCGTCAAAGATGGGCACCAGCAAAGAGAAAATTCACTATATTTTACAATTTTTCTACGATCGAGGCGAAAACTCAGCCAAATCGGCTGAAAAATTTAATTTAGTTTATGGGCCCGATAATAATGTAATCACCTAATGGGAGCTAGGAATAAGTGCGACGCAATTGAGAGGTTACCGGTCTGTCGAAATCTCCTGATGCTGCTGTCTAAGCACAGTTTACATAACTGCTCGAAGCAGTACTGACTTCCGACCACATCAGGGGAAAGGCATTCTTCTACACAGATACATTTTTTCTTTGTTGAAAAAACAACTTGGGATGCCATCGTTAGCAGACAAGCCTTAAGGGGTTACATAGTTCTTTATAGCCAAAAAAAAAGTTTATTTTCTCTTATTTTTTCAAAAGTTACTAAATAAAGCATACAATTTATTTTATTTGCATATAAAAGTGCAATATGTAAACAACATTTGATGAAAATTTTAATCAAAAACAGTATCAAGTTAAGGCGTTGGCAGTGTCGTGAAGTAGACTGTCCAAAGGAAAGTGCTTTCGCGGTGGTCATGATAACTTTTTAAATTTTTATGTGAAATCAAATATCCAAATTTTTTCTTAAAGTAGGTGAAATTTCCTTGTCCCTGAATGAAGAAAAATTAAAAAAAGCTAAAGATTTACAAAAAATTAGGCCACATATTGGCTTGTAAAATGAGTTGAAATCAAAGATAAAAAAAAACCTTAGTTCAGTGACTACAAAAGCATGCTTAAAAGAAGTGTGGAAAATTTGAACTCGATCGTTTTAATAGTCGTTGAGAAATTTTGACTACCGATTTTGATAAAGTTGTTTGAAGAAAATTTCGTTTAAAGTTTCGCCATCGGTCAAGCAATGATAAAGACGGCGGGTTATAAGACTCTTCGTCTCGATTGACTTGAAACTTGGGGAAAATATTCCTGACTTTGTACTTTTATACAAAAAATTATCAAAAAAAAATAGCTTTTTGAAGTTTCAAGACCTATGTAATCCCTTAAATACACACTTCACACACAGTTCCCTGATGGATCACGAAGCCAAAAAGCGAGTGCCGCCTGTAGTTTTCAAATAAACTCAGCAGAGCTTTAAACAATTTTATGAAGAACACTCAATTTCGCTAATGCCTTTGCAATGCATGCTTTTGCGTCTAATCTAAAATATTGTCACGTTGAAAATTTTCTGAATTTTTTTAGATATTCGATAAAATTTCAAATTACTCGTAAATACATGCATGCAAGGGTTTGTGGCACAGATATTTAGGTGGAAGTTGCGAGATATTTTCATACTTTCTGTAAATATCATTTTCACATTATTAAATTTTTGATACCGCTAGTCACGCAAGTTCCTTTTGAAATCTAAATATTAAAAAAAAATATTACACATTTAAAACTGTCATGAGATTTATATATAAATACGTTTTTGTATATGCAAGTATAAAGAATATAATAATTTTTAAGTATTAGATATTAAAAAATTTATATATTTTCACTGTAAACTAAATTAGATACATATGTATGTGCAATCACAAATATATATAAAATCAAGGCTTCTAATAAGTGCATACGAAATTAATTTTCCAGCTCAACAAATTAGTATGAAGTTGAGCAAGACATGAATTGCGAAAAAAATTTTAATTTAACTTGTAATTAGCGAAATCTATGAATAATGTACATATGTATGTTGTAATGTGTATGTTGTAAATATATTTAGGCACACAAATTTGTCGCCAGGAGAGCGTTGAGCATCTAATATCAGAATTATATATTCTACGGTCATGCGTATGCACATATGTATATACATTTGTATGTACATAACTACGAGTAAAAATATTTTTTAGTTATATACATATGTATGTATGTACAAAAAAGTATATTATTGAATATTAGCTCACGGTAATAAGTTTTGCTGTATTTGCGGTTAATTTGCGAAAAATGTAAATATCAAACAACGTTGGAGGTTTTGAGAAAAAAAACCAACAAATGCTTTTTTCAAGGTGTCATTTTTTCCATACAAATACATATATACATATTTAGAACATATATATTTTCACGCCACAAATGAATTGTAAATATTAGATTTTTTGCAGTGCCCAAGAATATTTATTTTAAAATTATTTTGCGAAATAAATTTTTTTTAAACTGCTTTTTGACCAAAAATTATATACTGACTCAACCTTGCGAATGAATGGCTAAAAAATATTTTGTTTTAATCTTCTATTTAATATTTAATAGATCGAGTATCTGGAGATGGTGAACCCGAAACCACAATGGATGAGGAAGGAAAGGATGTTCCATTACCTGACTATGATGGATTTCGAATAGCAATCGACCGCTTAAAAAACAACAAAGCGGCTGGAGCTGACGGCCTAGCGGCAGGACTATTCAAATATGGCGGTGAAGAGCTGATAAGTCAGCTACTTTGCAGAATATGATCGGACGAAAGCATGCCCTACGATTGGACCCCTGACAGTCGAGTCTTAATATACCCCCCCCCCCGCAACATTCCCCAAAAAGTACTTTAGGGAAAATATTTTTGCGGTTACAACAACAACAACAACAACAAGAACATTGGAATTTAAATGTCCCATCCATAAATAGGAGGACCCCACAGTCTGCGGCATTTATCATGCGATAAGCCTCCTTAATGTCGCCTATAAGCTCAAGTCGAGCGTATTGTGTGAAAGACTAAAGTCCACCGTCAAAAAACTGACTGGATCTTATCAGTGTGGCTTCAGATCTGGTAAGTCAAAAGCGAAAAGAGGATCGAGACCCCCCACCTCGTCGTCGATTTTAAAGCCTCTTTCGACAGCATGAAAATGAGCGGCTTTTACGCCGCTATTTCTGAATTTGATATCCCCGCAAAACTTATACGGCTGTGTAAGCTGACAGCTAGACAACACCAGGAGCGCAGTCAGAATTGTGAAAGACCTTTTTGAGCCGTTCGATACCAAACGAGGTTTCAGACAGGGTGAATCTTTGTCGTGTGATTTCTTCAATTAGATGCTAAAGAGATTGATAAGAGCTGCAGAGCTGAATAGAGAAGGTACAATCTGCTATAAGAGTGTACAACTACTGGCGTACACCGATGATATTGACATTATCGGCCTCAACAACCGCGCCGTTGGTTCTGCTTTCTCCAGGCTTGTTAAAGAAGCGAAGCGAATGAGTCTGGTAGTGAACGAGGACAAGACGAAATATCTCCTCTCATCAAACAAACAGTCATCGCATTAACGACGTCACTGTTGATAGTCGTTACTTTGAAATCCTAGATAATTTCGTCTACCTAGGAACCAGCATCAACACCAAAAATAATGTCAGCCTTGAAATCCAACGCAGAATCACTAGCGAAAACCAAACTCTACAAGTCCCTAATCGGTCTCGTCCTGCTATATAGTGCGGAAGCATGGACGATGACA